TTTTTTTTTTATTTTGAGACAGGGTCTCATCCTGTAGCCCAGGCTGGCCTTGAACTTGTGATCCTGCTGCCTCAGCCTCCCACATGCTGGGATTACAAGCATGTGCCACCACTCCCAGCTTCTCTACCACTTTCTAGCCTGCTGACCTTGAGCAAACTACTTCACCTCCCTGAGCCTCAGTTTCTTCATCTGTAAAAGGGGAGAATAATAAAGCTTTATTTATAAGATCATGTGGGGAGTTAGTACTGTAATAACTTAGGCATAGGCCAGGGATGTAGCTCAGTGGTAAAACTCTTGCCTAGCATAGATGAAACCCCTGGTTCTATACTCAGTATTGCAAAATAATAATAATGAAAAAAAAATCTCAGGTAGCCAGGGATATAGCTCAGTAGCACAGTGCCCGCTTGGCAAGTTCAAGGTCCTGAGTTCAATTTCCGGTACAACAAACGAGAACAAAAACAAAACAAAAATTAGGTAAAGCATTGGAACAGTGCAGAATGAGAGCAACGGTGAGTGTAATTATGATCACCATCACTTTATACTGTGCAAAGCGGCTTCTTCAGTCTTTTATTTCTGGGGAGAGGACAATGAGTGATTAAACCCCTAACCTTCCCACTGAGCGACATCCCCATCCCTGTTTTAAAATTTTGAGACAGTGTCTTAGTAAATCACTGAATTGCCCGGGCTGGGTGTGAACTTGTGAGTCTCTGCTTCCTAGTTAACCGGGATTACGGGCTTGGCCACCGCTTCCGGCTGTTTCTTCAGCCTTTTCACAAAAGCAGGGGGCGGGGCTGGACACAGTACGGAGGCAGGGATGGGGAGCGCCTGTCACCCACAAGTCAGCCCTGCCTAACCGAGATGGCCCTAAGGCTGGGGCCCTAAGTGGGGCAGGGGTCACCCCAGAAGGCAGAGATGGCAACGAGACCGTGTCCATCTTGCTTGTCTGCACCTCTGTCCTGTCCCCCTCACCCTGTTTATTTATAGGAAGAGGCACAGGTGGGCGACAGCCAGTGGGGAGGCCACGTGATAAGCATATGGCCTTGTGTTTTTCTCTGCCTCTCGCCTGATTGGGAGCTGCCGATGAGCACAGCCTGTTCTCCCGAGCTCGGAGCCCACTTTGCTGCCTGTGTCCACATGGTGTGCTGGGTGCCCGACTGGGGCTCCGGGGGATGGACAAAGCTATCAGGGAGGGAAGAGCTGCTACCAGGAACCCCAGCCTGGGGGCAGTGGGGGGGGAAATCACACTCCGGAGCCATTCATTCAGTCATGCAGTTCACCTTCCCCAAGCCACCCTGTGATGCAGTGAGCTCAGCTGGCGACAACTCGGCAACTGACATCGCTGAAGACAGAAATAGTGTGAGGGGAGGAGGTGGCAGGTTACAAAATAAGGATGCCATAATCCATAGCTGCTTGGAAGGTGCACTGGAAAACACAGCAACAGGGCCACCGCGGGAAACACACGGGTGCAGGCTGAGCGGGGAGCCCAGCCCGAGGAGTCGGGGACTGCGACCTCATTCTTAAACTGGAGCCTCAGGATAAAGATGTCAGCTCTTCTTCAACTGAAACACACTGAATGCAGGCTGAGTGGACATTCTCCCGGGACTTGGGGGGCGGAGAAGGGGCTTGACAAAAAGCTGAAATTTACCTAAAAAAATACATGTTTGGGAATTTATAAGTCTCCCCTTCCCCCCACTGGAGATTGAACCCAGGGCCTCAAGCATGCTAGATAAGTGCTCTGTCTCTGAACTATATTCCCAAGCCCCAATTTTTCATTTTTAGTTTTTTTGGAGAGACAGCTCTTTCTAAAATACGATTTGGCACTGAACTGGTGATCCTCTTGCTTCAACCTTCTGAATGCTGAAGTTTCTGTTTTCTTTTTTTCTTTTTGGTACCAGGAATCAAACTCAGGACCTTGCGCTTGTCAGGAAGGCGCCGTGGCTCTGAGCTATATCCCCAGTCCTCTTCTTTTTCATTTTCTTTTCTTTTCTTTTCTTTTCTTTTCTTTTCTTTTTAAAAGAATAACAGTGTAGCATCAAGCATGGTGGCACACACCTGTAATCCCAGCATGCAGGAGACTGAGGCAGGAGGATCATTTTGAGTTCCAGGCCAGCCTGAGCTCTGTAGTGAGTTCAAGACTAGCCTGAACTGCATGGTGAGACCGTGTCTTAAAAAAAAAAGAAAGAAAAGAAAGAAAGATATAAAAAGTTTCTGTAGACAACCTGCTGGCTTTTTAAAAGCTCATCACCCATGATCATTTCCTTGGGCTCGATTTTCTTTTTTTTTTTTTGTACTGGGAATTGAACTCAGGACCTGCAAACGCTTGCACTGCTGAGCTATATCCCTGGCCCCACTTGGGCTCCATTTCTACACGTGGAGTTACTTAGCTAAAGAGCAGAATGCATTCTTAATCTTGATAGAAAATTTGCTGATTGCTTTGCAGCAAGATACTTAGGCACAGGAAGCCAGCGTTGGCTTTTCTACCTTCACTAGCACTGGGCTTGTTAGTATTTCTTTGTTTTTTGAGATAGGGTTTCACTGTATATCTCAGGCTGGGGTCAAACTCACTATGTAACCCAGGTTGAATCGGTGATCCTCCTGCCTCAGCCTCTTCAGCTGGGATTCTACGCGTGCGCCACCACGTGGGGGCATGGCTAGTGTTTTTACTTTGGCAGTTCCTAAATCTGTGCGCCAGCCTAGGGCTAAGCATTATGCAGTGTCATCCCCACACATCCCGTGGGAAGGGGCACCCATTTTACAGACGAAATGGGTGGAGAGGTCTCTCCTGTCCACCAGGCTCGCCTAGCCTGACGGCTCCGGAGCCCCGGACTTCAGCAACGAGGTCTCTAATCAGGGTGTCACCTGCTTCCACCTGGTTTGCAGCCTGCGCAGTCCTCAATCGCTCCTCCTCCAGGTTCCCACTGCCCGAGTCTCAGTTCTCTGTAGGGTGCGTTTTTCCAGTCCGCCGATTTCCTGTTGTCACCCGTGAGCTCTCTACCCTTCAGGGACGCAGCCCCTTCCTCAGCCTGGCGTCCAAAGGCTCCACATTTGCCAGGCTGCCTTCCCCGATGTACCACGGCCGGGTCCCCACCCCGAGCTCGCCCCGCTGAGCCACTTTCCCGCCTCTGAGTCCTAGGTCCCGCGCCACTGGCCCAGGTCGAGTTAGACACCTGAGCCGCCGCGGGGGCGGGGGGGGGGAGGAGCAACGCTGCGGTAGAGCCTTCCTGAGCCCTGGGGCAGCGCTTGTCACCTGACTGCAGTGATTTGTTGACGCTGCCTGGCCACTGCCGCCCGCCTCGAGTCTGGGTCCCTAGCGCCACCATGTGACCTGTGCGCACAAGGCCCTGTGAGCAGCTCGCCCCGGGCAGGGGACGGCTTTTAGCAAGAGAAACGGAAAAATGAACGGTTCCCTAGCAGGCAAAGATTGTGTAGGCACCGGGATGGGGGACGGAGTGGTCATTCAGAGGGGCCTTGGGGGGCAGGCCCACTTTGGGGTGGGGTGGCGTGGGGTGTGAGGATTCACAGCAGGATTTTTTTTTTTTTTTTTCTTTTGAGACAGGGTCTCGCTATGCAGTTCAGCCTGGCTTTGAACTCAATATGTAGCCGAGGCTGCCCTC